ACGGCTCATAGCAACCCTCCATCAGGTCCCTAGGTCGTAAATTTTTATGAGAGGAGATTACTCATATTTTTCCACAGAACAGGGAGTGGATTCAGACTATTGACCTTTCTGTTAGCTGCGCAACACTCAGTGCATTACACATCAGAATTCCTGAAAACTAAATAGTAAAAAATCCCCCCTGAATAGTAACCTAAAGTAATATTACAGTCCTTTCTCTGTGTGTGTGTGTGTGTGTGTGTGTGTGCATGCATGTTTTTATACACATGTGTTTTATGTATGTTGTTGTTGTTAAATTTCATCTAGTCGAGGGCAACTCATAATGATCCTATGAACAAAAGACTTGAATCCTGTTCTGTAACTATTGTTGTTTCTCTAAGTTCATAGATTTGCCGGAGGCGTGTTTGATTGATAGATACAATGATAGATAGATATAGATAGATAGATGATTATGATAGATAGATAGATAGATAGATAGATAGATAGATAGATGATAGATAGATAGATAGATAGAAAGATATATATAGTCAGCATTTTCAAATGACTGGTGAAAAGGAATTTAAAAGTAGAACAGAATTGCAATATGAACACAAGGCATATTCTAATATTATCAACTAATAAAAGGATTTATTACTCATTGTTTCTGAATAGATTGTTTTTGTTATTTATCTTCATTTAACAGCAATCATCCTTCATTTGGGATAAACAAGGTCATTAGAGCTGGTGTTCTCAAGGTCATCTTGGCAAGTACTACTCTGGGATGGACAGGAAATGATTTGTGGGTCATAACATTTTATTAACATCTTTGATCTGTTAAGTAATGGTGTGTATCAAGCACATGATGAAGTTGAGGGTGGAAAGCAGACAGCTATCATGGTGAAGATGATTTGAAGGAGAGAAGTCTATGAGTTACAGGTGTAGGGTTTTAGGAAAAGCATGATCATTATCTCAGAAAACTTCCACATGTTTTTCAGGAAACAAAACCCACATTTGCTCCGATAGTTCTAAACTTCTTTGTGAGGGATGGTGGTGGGGGAAGCCGATCTTCCAGCAATCTGATAAAAATACTGACTTCCTTCCCAGAAAAAGACACAAAAGTTTTTCCAATTTCAGAAGAGTCACAGACTTGAATGAGCCCACGCATAGATCTCCTAGCTGTCCTTAGGAAAATCATAGCCTCGCTATTGTACATTAAAGGAAATTATTTCCCTAATTTAAACCTTAGGAAGCTCTGGCGGCCTAAGCTCTGGTGGGTAAGAGTTGCACTGCCAACCCAGAGACAAGCGGTTTGAATCCACTGGCTGCTCTTTGGAAGAGAGAGATGGGCCATCTCCTTTCATCTGATTCACACCCTCTGAAAGCCCGCTGGAGGATCTCTGGAGAGTCAGTTCCTACTGGACAGCACGTAGCAACAACCGCAACAACTTAAACCTTACAGAAGAAATAAAAAATGAATGCTAGGTAAAAACTTCTGTAACCGACAGGAGTATTGTGAGAGAGGAGGATGATGCAGTAAAAGAACAGATTGTGGCAGTGATAAATGACAACTCAGTATGGACTACAGAGCCAGGAGGCAAGGGACAGAGAAGCGGGGAACCTACTGGAGAAAGAATGCAAGAAGACCAAATTTGGGCTCAATTATTTGGTAATATCATTAAAAATCACCCCTCTATGAAATCTTCCAAACAAAGATAACTGCAATAAACTAGTTAGCTATAGACACAATTGAATTCACTGAAGATTTGAGGCCTTTGTCTTATAATTATGCTTCTAGTAAAAAATTTTCTGAACTTTATATTTACTTTAAAATCCTGTCTTTTGAGCACTCAGTACTGATTGAGGAGCAAAAGCGAACCCCACTACGGGTGTAGCCATCTTATGGGAGAGAGAAGAGCTGCCCCATAGGATTTTTAAGACTGTCAATATTTACATAAGTAGATGGTGACATCCTTCACCTGAAAACCAGCTGAGAGTTTCAAACAGCTGATGTTGAGTTAGCTACCAAATACTTATATCACTATACCACCAGGTTTTCTCAATGTTTATTAAATTACATTAACAAATATTTTTATATCTTTAAGTGAATGAGAATAGCAACCACTCTTAAAAATAGTGATCTTTTCTAGTGAGTACTGTAGCTTGAGCATGCTGGACTCCGTATGAGTTTCCTTGTACGTTTTTAAAAACCAAACTATGAGATGCACAAAGAAGAATAAAACCTTATCTCGACATTCAAAAATCTTTGATAAAGCTGAAGAGGTCATAGTACATGAAAAATCAGAAAATCATAAAACTATTAAATAAACACGTAAGACAATGGTACAAGAGATGCCAGTTGGAAATATCTACCAATGGGTCCATTGCTCAGTCCTTGGTGTTGGTTTTGAGGGTATGCTATTTCCTGTAATGACCCCTTAATAAGGGGAAAGCAGAACACCACAGAGAAAAAGACATTCAAATTTATTGTTGATCAAATAAAATTTAGTTGTGGTTTATGTCCTGATTACCTACCTGTTTTAGCTAAATATGTTTTTGTTTTGGCAGCTTTGGGTTGGGAAAAGGGAGGGGAACTGAAGAATGACGGTATGGGATGATGAACTTGATTTCTTAAGTTTTGTTGATTTTCCCCCAGGCTGTAGATGTTGGCATGTACCTTCATAATGTTGGTGTTGGTTTCTTCTTTTATTCCAGAGTAAGCTTTCTCCCAGTTCTGACAGACTGGCTCTGTGTGTGGACAGAACAGTCAACTGCCTGCATAGATTGAAAAGGTCAATCTGCGTGGTTAAAAGGGACAACATGAGTCCCTGCCATGCTGTGTACCTCCCCCAAGCCCTCTTGCAGAGACATGAAATACTAGTGTTTTGAATTTACTCCTTTAATCTAAAAAAAATTGTTTTAAAAATTTCATTGAAATGTGGAAAACATTGAAAACAATTTTGTGGTATCATTATCAGCCACAAAATGTAATACAAAAGTACAAAAGAAGGTTGTGGAGCTGGGTAGGGTGAATGGAAAACTGAGAAATGAGGAGGAAAAAGCAGCAGTCAAGAAAGTAAAAGAAGTGTTTGCCTGGAAAATCTGCTGTCAAGGACTTCTTTAAAGTACCAAAGAGCAAGTACGTCAGTTTAAAGACTAAGGGGCTCCTGATCCCAGCCATGGTATTTTCTATTACTTCCTATGCATATGAAATTTGGATAATGAATAAGGATGACATAAAAATAGTTTATGCTTTTGAATTTTGATGTTAGAGAAGAGTACTGACATGGACTCTTGGACTCCCCCAAGAATAAACAAGTCTGTCTTGAAGGAAGTGTAACCAGGGTGCTTCTTAAAGATGAGGATGGTGAAACTTTGTCTCATGTCCCTTAAATATGTTATCAGGAGAGACTAGTCCTGGCAAAAAAAGTGTTAGGTTGGAAAAAGTGGAGTGTCAGAGGAAAAGAGGAAGACCTTGAACGACAGTTGGTGGCCTTGAGAATATCAGAAATCATGAGGATGGCACAGGACAGGGCAAGGTTCTTGTCTGTTCATATAGTTCCCATGAGTGGTAGTCAATTTGGCAGCTCTTAATGAAAAAAGAAAAGCTAAAAAGATGTCAAAGCTTATTGATTTGAGAATTTCAGTGGCACTGTATTATATGCCTTTAGTCTTTGTGTACTATTTGTAGCCTGATCTCAATTTCACTGTTGCCTTCCATCATGTTGTTATTATGTGCTGTTGAGTCAAAACTGACCCATAGCTGACACTCCAGGGGGTTTTCAGAGGCACTAAATCACATGGGAAGAGACTGCCCATCCTTCTCCCACAGAGCAGAGCAGTGGTGGATTTGAACTGCATGCCTTTGGAATTGTAGAGCAACTTTCTTACCATGATAGGCTTGGCAATTCCATATTTTGTGCTACAAATGAGTAATGTTAAAATAAAGCACCTTTTTACAAAAGGTAATCCAAGCAATAATAATTTCTCTTCATTTGTCTGGAATGGCATGGGAAGGAGGAAAGTTGAAAACTGGAAAATGAAATGGAGTACCTGCCTGGTCATCCCATAAAGAGCTGTTTCCTGTGCCATGAGACCAAAAGAATTGAATAGTGACTGACTATCATTACTGAAAATTCTGATCAAAGATGCGAAAGAATCCTTGATCAAAAATGGGAAAATACAGGATAAAATCTCACCTTTTCAATGGAATCTAAACTTTCTGAGGAGCCAGTGAGACTGGATGAAACACTAAAATGATAAACTTCAACTAAACTAGCCCCTAAAGGCATCTTTGAGCCAAATAAGAGTACAGCTTAATTAGTAAAATATATCTGCCTAGAGCATTGTGCTGCTTTAAAGAATCATTTATATATAGTCAAACTGACAGAAACTTATGAGGTTAGAAGAGGTACTAAAGAGGCAGTTAAGTCTGTGTTGAGGGTGATGGAATCCTTTTGAAAAGAATAGTGAAAAGGGTTGTACAAATTGAAGAACATAATCAGTATCATCGTATGTGTGTGTAGAAATTATTTCAATGGCATCTCTTGTGGTGCATATTTTCACAGTAATAGTAATAAAAATAACATGCACACACAAAGAACAAAGCACCTTTAGGCATTGGTTATGTTTGTTTTCTAAAGTGGGAAGATTTTCCCAAGCCATTTCTTCATAAAAATCCTACATTTTGCATCAGAAGGGATGTCAACAGTATTCAAAGCCCTCAGAATATCCAAGAGAAATGTCACACTGTTTCTAATTCATGTCCTTCTCATCTCTCAGCACTAACCGGATATTTCTGCTATCACACACACATCTCCACATTATTCAGCGTCAGTCTGGTATGTTCACACTGGTGAAAAAACTGTTTTGACTGTCATCAAGCATCTGAATATTCAGTGTTTTTGACCTTTGGCACTGCCCTATACCTTGCACGGTGTTTACAGGTGAAATAGGAACCATGTGAGCACTCCGTGAGCTTAATGTTTCCTAAGAACTCCCATGAAGTGGGCAAATGAGACAGAAATATGGCATTATTGATTATACTGATTACCTGTTTTGTGATTATTCTTTCCCAGACTTGCCAGACCCCTGACGACTTTGTGGCTGCTACTTCTCCAGGACATATCATGATTGGAGGCTTGTTTGCCATTCATGAAAAAATGTTGCCTTCAGAAGAATATCCTAGACGACCAGAAATCCGGAAATGTGTTGGGTAAGTAAATCCTCAGAGAACACGTTTAGATTTCAAGATTATGCCAGAGGAATAGGACTTGTAAAATGTTTGCTTATATTAGCATCTAAAATGTTTTCATGTACAAGTGTTAACTCTCTAAGATGCATAATATTTATTCATCATAGGACAGCTAGTTATTAAATGCCTACCTTGCTGAGGCCCTATTCTAAGCACTAGGGCTGCTGCAGAGAGTACTACTCTAAACAGGTCCTAACTCTCAGGGGCTTGCATGTCAAGGGCTCTGAACATAACTCTCCCTCTTCTTGGTTTCCTTTTCTAAACTGTCAAATGGTTTTATTACTACATTTACTACAAATGGTCTTATTTAATATGTTCTTGCTATCAGTGAACTAAAACAAAATTTTGACTATTGAAGTCTCATCAGTAATAAAAAGCAAAAAAAAGCCACTTTCTTTTTCCACTTTCACTTTAAGAGTATTTCTTGAGAGAGGAACTGCTGCTGTGGATTAAGCAATATTTGTAATCCTTTTTTTACAGGGAGCAATAAGGCTCAGGAGAGGGCAGTGTTCAGAGACATTGTGCCGAGGGTCACTATGAGTTGTAATTGACTCAGCAACACATAACAACAATAACAACAAAGAGTAAATCACTACTCAGCCAAATGCTCTAGAAAAATCACAAAGAAGAAGCAACTTGGAGAAGTTCTCAACATGTGGAACTAGCTTTGATTTTAAATGAAAATAACACTTTATCTAGGAAAAGGTTATTAGGCTTTTACCTAGAGACTATTTTACCTGTAATGCTTTAGAGCCTTATTTATCTGGTTTCCAGCTACAACAGAATCAGAATCAGAAAATTAAAATAATAACTTCCAAGTACAAAATGTCACCATGTATGAACAATAAAACCCTTGACATCTAGCAGCCCAAAGAGTAAAAAAAAAAAAGTCCATATACTGCAAAATACAAAATTAATTGATTGTTCAAAATTATTCCAAAGCTCAAGAAAAGGTTTTACTCTGTCCCATATACTATTTTTAAAAGAGTAGGTTTCTATGTTACCTTTTTCAGATGTTTCTGTCAAAAATTATTTTATATTTTAAAATGTCTTGAAGAAATTATTTTTTATTACTCAAATGTAAAAATCTGTATCATTAACAGAATTTTAAATGTACAAATATTTTTCTTCTGAAAATATGTATTATTTTGAAAGATAGAGAATGGCAGGACTACTGCCTTCATTAAAACACCTAATCTATTCTTTAAAAAAATATTATAAAATACATAGTTCTCAAATGAGCTTCCCTTATTTGTAATTATAAGCAAAGATGTGAATAAAATGAAGCATCAACATGTGTGTAGAAGAGTTCTATTTGCAAAAGTGTTCTGATTTTAAGAATTTCTTATTTTTCAACAGCTTTGAAATATCAATATTTCTTCAAACTCTTGCTATGATACACAGCATTGAGATGATCAATAACTCAACACTACTATCTGGAGTCAAACTGGGGTATGAAATCTACGACACTTGTACCGAAGTCACAGTGGCAATGGCAGCCACCCTCCGGTTTCTTTCTAAACTTAACTTCTCTGGAGAATTTGTGGAATTTAAGTGTAACTATTCCAGGTATATGCCAAGGGTTAAGGCCGTCATAGGTGCTGGCTATTCAGAAATAACTATGGCCGTCTCTAGGATGTTGAGTTTACAGCTCATGCCACAGGTAAGTTTTGTTCTGTACATGGATCTTGAACATAGTGCTATTTTGCAAGGATCAGGGTAACCCTAGAAAACTAGTTAGGGAGTTACTTTTAGTTTAATCTTTCTTCTCATCATTGAAACAGATGCCTTATTATGAATAAGATTTTTTTTCAAAAATAAAGAAAAAATTAGATAGTAGTTAGCTCCCTCAGTGTCTCAGGTATAATTTCTAACAACTTTAAGCATGATTTCTATGAGAAATAAGAATCTGAGAGTCTTTATACATTATGCCAAGATTGTATCAATTGGATGATAAGAAAATTGAAGAGAGTAAGGGCCAAAGAGGTATGGTGGTCAAGGCAGATCCCTTAAGGAATTGATTTTGAGCTTATAACTTGAATGAGAAAGAAAGTCAAGTAAAAACGCAGAATAGAGGAGGCATCAAGTGCAAAGTTTGAGATGTTGTTGATTGCCTTCAAGTCAAGCACAACTCATAGAGACCTTGTGAACAAAAGGTCTGAAACCTTTCTATAACTATCATCATTTATCAAAGGTCATAGAGTTTCCAGAGGCATGTTGTTTAGGAGGTGGATGCCACTCTTGCTTCCAAGTTTAAGATGGCCAATGAATCATTTTAAAGGTCAGAGTCACTATAAATCATATTTGACTGGACAGCATATAACAACAATAATGTGGCTAAATCAGAGGTCACTATGACTATATCGAACACACTCTGGTGGCCTAGTGGTAAGAGGCTGTGCTGTAATCCCAAAAGCATAGGATTAGAATCCACACACTGCTTCACTGGAGAAGAATGAACAATCTCCTCCCTATGCCATTAACTGCCTCTCAAACCCTACTATGTGTCAGCTATGAGTCAGTTCCACCTTGACAGCAAACAGCAAAAAACAACATGACTAGGTCAGGGAGCCATGGTGGCTTAGTGGTAAAGTATTGCACTGCCAATGTAAATATATATGGTTCGACTCCACCAGCTGCTCTACCAGAAAAAGATGAAAAATCTCCTCCTGTGCAATTATTACCTCTGGAAACTCACTGGAGGATCAGCCATGGCTTGGTTATAACTTGATGGTATATAACAATGACTAAGTTTGGACAGCAAAATGCTTGATAAAAAATGAACTCATAGAGACAGGCAGAGTGACGTCATGGAACATCTTGAAAACCATGCTTTAAACTTCTTCTGAGTGTGAAGGAAATACTTTCACCATCTCCATGACACAAAGGAAAAGCAAAAAAACAAAGGAATTTGCAAACTCTCTAACTCAAATCACTAAGTCAGAATAACTCATAATTAACCCTCCACGCGGTAATAAGAAGTGATAAATAACAGGATAAGAAATTATCCATCTTTCTCCCATGGAGTAGCTGATGGATTCACAACTCTCTATAGACGAGGTCACCAGAGCACTGATCTCCATGACCAGTGCAAGTCAATTTTCAAAACGTAAGTCAAAAGACCTCTAACAAAGCAAAATATACATCAGCATGTACTAAGTTCTTGAACATTATTGAGAGTCAATTAAGCCATTTTAGCTTTCTGGTAGCTTAATGCCAGTAAATTTGGAGAACAGCTTTCTGGCTGATTGGCCAGAAGAAATGCCTACCCATTCCCAAGAAAGGTGATCCAACAGAATGTGGAAATTATTAAACAAAACCATTAATACCACATGCAAGCAAAATAATTCTGTAAATGACTAAAAAACAATCAATATAGTACCTAGAAAACTGTCAGAAGTTGAAGCTGGATTTAGAAGAGGCTGTGGAACTACAGATATTATTGCAGATGGATTTTGACTGAAAGCAAAGAATATCAGAAAAATGCCTATTGGCACTTTATTGACTATGCAAAGGCATTTGACTGTGTATATCATTACAAATAGTGGTTAACATTGATAAGAATGAGAATCCCAGAACACTTAATTGTGCTCAAATGAAATCAATACCTAGACCAAGAAAGAGGCAGTTGTGTGTACAGAGAAAGGAAACACTGCATGGTTTAGAATTAGGAATGATGTGATTCAGGGTTGTATCCTCTCTCCGTTCCTATTTATCTTATATGCTGAGCAAATTATTTGAGAAGCTGGACTCTATAAAGAAGATGTGGCATCAGAATCAGAGCAGGAGTCATCAGTAAGCTGTGTTATGCAGATGATACAACCTTCTTGTTGAAAGTGAGGAGGACTTAAAGGGTTTGCTGAAGAAGATCAAAGACTACAGCCTTCAATATGGATTGCATCTTAATGTCAAGAAAACAAAAATTCTCACCATTAGACCTATAAACAAGATTATGATAGATGAATTAGAGATTGAAACTGTCAACAACTTCATCTACTTAGATCCACAATCAATACACTTGATACCAGCAGTCAGGAGATGTATTGCACTGGAAAAATCTACAGTCAAGGCACTCTCCAAATTATAGAGGAGGATTGATGTTAGTTTGAGGACTAACATGTTCTTTATGAAGGACATAGTCTTGCAAAGCACTTGCTATACATCTGAGAGCTGGACTGTGACAAAAAAATAATTGATGCCTTTGAACTATGGTGTTGGAGAAAAGTACTGGATATTCCATGTACTAACAAGAGAACCTCTCAAAGACAGCTAACCTTGAGAAGAATCCCAGAACACTTAATTTTTGTGTTCATGTGAAACCTGTACTTGAACCATGAAACAGTAGTTAGAACAGAGCAAGTAAACACTACGTGGTTCAGGATCAGGAAAGATGTGTGTCAAGGATGCATCTTATCTCCATACCTTTTCAATCTATATACAGACCAGATCTTTCAGGGGGCTGGACTCTATGAGGAGATATGTGACAACAAGATTGGAGGAAGACTCATTAACAATCTGCATTATGAAGATGATACAACTTTTTTTGCTGAAGCTGAAGAGGACATGAGGCATTTAATGCAGAAGGTAAAGGACTGTTTTCTTCAATATGGATTGAAGCTCAACATCAAGAAAACAAAGATTCTCACCACTGGAACAATCATCAGTTTCATGATGGATAGAAAAGAAATGGAGGTTATTATTGATTTCATCTTGCTTGGTTCCACAATCAACACTCTTGGTACCAGCAGTCAGAAACCAAAAGATAAATTCCACTGGAAAAATCTGCTATCGGGGACCTCTTTAGAGTACTGAAGAGCAATGATGTCAGTCTGGAGACTAGTTGTACCCCATCCAGGCCATACTCTTCACAATTACTTGCTATGAATCCAAGAGACAGACAATAAGAATTTTAGAAGAAGGATTGATGCTTTTGAGGTGTGATGCTGGAAAAGAGTGTTGAACATAGTATGGGCTGCCGGGAGAACAAATAGATCTGTCTTGGAAAGGGTGAAAACTAGCTGCTTCCTATAGACAAGGATTTTGAGGCTCCATCTCACATACTTTGGGCACATGGCCAGAAGGAACCAGTCCTTGGAGAGGGACATCATGGTTGGAAGAGTGAAAGGATAGTGCAGGACAGTAAGACACAGAATGAGATGGATTGACTCAGTAATTGGAGTAATGGAATTAGGGCTGTTGGAGACAATGAAACTGGCTCAGGATAGGGCAGATTTCAGAGCTAATGTACATATGATCACTATGAGTTGCAGGTGACTTGATGGCACATAACAACACAACAACAACAATAACAAAAAAAACAAACATATGTGTCTTGGAGAAGGTGAAGTCAGACCACTCCTTGGAGGCAAAGATAATTTAACTATGCTTCACATACTTTGGGCATGTTGCGAGGAGACACTATTCATTGAAGGGAGACTTAATGCTTGAGAAGGTGGAGATGTGGCGAATGAGAGGAAGACCCTCAAACCCTCGACCAGGTGGATTGACACAACAACTGTGGCAATGGGCTCAAGTGTCAGAGATCATGAGGGTGGTACAGGACGGGACAGGCTTCAGAACTGTTGTTCATAGAGTCACTATGCATTGTACTTAACTTGATGGTACCTAACAACAATACCAACAGTAGTGCTAAGGAGTTGTGCTGCCATCCCGAAGTGGCTTGGATCCACCAGCTTCTCTGAGGGAGACAGACAGTCGCCTCTCATGTGGTTTATTGACTCTGAAAATCTGTTGGAGGGTCAGCAATGACTTGTTTCCAACTCACCATTACAACATCACATATCACTCCATTCTGTAACTTGTTCGGAGTCCTTCTTTCTAAGTTCAAGGTAAGATTAGAAGCCAAAATGTTGTCATACTATCAAGAAATAATCAATGGATAAAAATGAGCAAATAGGACAAATATATAAAACATAATAATAAATGTGTATGTTGTTGTTGTGTGCTACAAAGTTAGAACTGACCCATGACTGACCCTCCAGTGGTTTTCTGTGGCAGTGAATCGCGTAAGAGGAGGTTATCAATCCTTCTCCATCAGAGCAGCTGGTGGATTCTAACTCTGTGCCTTTGGGATAACAGCACAGCTTCTTATCCCTAGGCAACCAGAGCTCCCTACAAAGGTGTACATGAACTAATAATATTTAATTTTCTGGAGCTCAAATAAATGAATCATACAACCATAAACACCCTGGCAGTCCTATTATAGCCTTGTGAAGTTTTATTGTAAAATTCTAAATTTTTAAAAATATAGTTAGCAATTTCAACTTAGAAGTGGGTAAGAAAATTATCTTTTAAAAGAATCAAAGCTATGTATAGGCAAAAAGTAATATCATAGTGCTTTTTAATTATAAAATGAAGCAGCACAGGAGACAAAATGATAAAACCATCAAAATGTTGATACTACAAAGATAGGGTGTTTTGTTTGGTTTTTACATTTTCTAAGAATTATAAAATGAAAATAACACAAAGATTAATATAGAATCACATGTGACACCTCCCTCTGCAAGCCTAAATATTTCCCATCTAGCTTTAGAAGAAAAGTTTCTTGAACCTGGATTAGATAATAGTTTGACTGGATGATTTATTTTACTTAGAATAAAATCACCAAAATTCTATATTAGATAAAATTTTCAACATGTTGTTGTGTACCATAGAATCAGAACTGACCCATCGCTGACCTTCCAGCAGGTTTTCAGAAGGAGTAATCACATAGGCTGGAAGCAGGAGCGGCATCCACTTCTGAAATGGCTTGCCTCCGGAAACTCTATGTACAAACAGTGCTCAGGCTGTTCATTCATAGGGTCGCTATGAGTCGTCTACGACTTGACGGCATTAAACAACAACAACAACAACAATCAAATAGGAGGAAATTGCCCATCCTCCTTTCATGGAGCAGCAGGGTAGATGCAAACTGCATGCCTTCTGGATTGCAGCACAGATTCTTACCACTAAGCCACTAAGAGCTCAACATATTAGATGTCCCAAAATAGACTTTGGCTATTTGTCTCACACACACACACACACACACACACACACACACACACACACACACGCGTGCACACCCCCTATTTACTTTTAAATATTTAAATAGTATTTGCTATTGCTTCTGTCCTGTGATAGAAAATATATACATATGGCTATACAGATACATATAAAATATATGGATAGGTATAAAATAAAACCTGGATCATCAAGGGCTTATGTTATACACAAAATGAAATTATTAAAACCCAATGACCCTAAATCCATGATAAGGTGATAAGTTTATGACTTGAGCTGTTTGAAAAATAGAATTGCATTAAAAGAGAAGGATGAAAACTACCAGAAAATTTAGGGAAGACTATAGAGCTGGCCCTTGGACAAAGATGTGGTTAGTGTCACAGTGTTGTAAGCAGAAGCACAGAACACATGAACTCATTGCAATAGAAGCAAGAAAAATATTCTACATATAAGCGGTTCTGCACAGTTTTAGAGTAAATGTAATCATACCTGGATTTTCAACTTCGCAGGAGAGTCATTCCCCAAACCGCGTTATTGTTCAAGGGTCAGCTGTAGATAATTCTAGAAATGAGAAAAAACATCTATTTCAGTCACTTGGCATTTCTCAATATTATAACTAAAAGCTTCTATCAATTTCCAGGTGAGTTATGAATCAACTGCCGAAATCCTAAGTGACAAAATTCGCTTTCCTTCATTCTTACGGACTGTGCCCAGTGACTTCTATCAAACTAAAGCAATGGCTCATCTGATTCAGAAATCTGGATGGAACTGGATTGGCACAATAACCACAGATGATGACTATGGGCGTTTGGCTCTCAACACCTTTGCAATTCAGGCTGCTGCAAATAATGTGTGCATTGCCTTCAAAGAGATTTTCCCAGCCTTCTTTTCAGATAATACCATCGAAGTCAGGATCAATCAGACACTCGAGAAAATTATTGCCGAAGCCCAAGTTAATGTCATTGTGGTATTCCTGAGACAATTCCATGTTTTCAATCTCTTCAATAAAGCAATTGAGAGGAATATAAATAAGGTCTGGATTGCAAGTGATAACTGGTCAACTTCTATCAAGATTGCTACCATTCCTAATGTTAAAAAGATTGGAAAAGTTGTAGGGTTTACCTTTAAAAGAGGGAATGTGTCCTCATTCCACTCCTTTCTTCAAAATCTGCATTTATTACCCAGGCACAATAACAAACCCTTAAATGAATATGCCATGCTCTTGTCTGCCTGTGCACATGCCAACGACAGTGATTTAAGTCAATGTATTTTCAACCATTCTCTGGGGACTTTGGCCAACACAACTGCAGAAAGGAACTTCTCTCTGAGGAATGACTTTCTGTGGGATTATACTGAGCCAGGAGCGGTTCACAGTATTCAGCTTGCAGTGTCGGCCCTTGCTTACGCCATTCGGGATCTTTGCCAAACTCGAGACTGTCAGGACGCCAACGCCTTTCAGCCATGGGAGGTATTAACTCACACATCCAAGAAAATTTCCTTAGCATCATTTCCCCCATTCCCATCCCTTCCTTAATTTGCAATAGGTTTACATTAACTGCTGTGTGTTTGTGAGGATGAATGAGCTGTTTTACGTTCACCTTTATCCTGACTCATCGAAGTTGTGTATTTTTCTTTTCCAAGATTGATAGAGCTATTTCTCTTGCATTTATGCATTTGTATTAGACTTTGCAATTTTTCCAATACTTCATGTGATTTATCCCATTTAAGGCTCCTACTATTATATAATCACATATGGATGGTGTGTATGCATGGATGTGTGTATGCATGTGTACACTACTTTTAAAAATACTCTTTAGTATAGCATTTTAAAAAAAGAAGACTTCCTATTTCTTAAGTCACTGTGCTTCACTATCCTATACATCCAAGCAGAACTTTTCTGTTTCCTGCAGTAGTTTTGTTCTGGTGTATTGCAGAAAAGCATGGTTGATTTTAGAACTGGACTATTATAATGAAATCACTACATGGAATTTAGGGAATAAGTGCTTAAGAGGAATGGGATGATGGAAAAAAATAAGTCCTAGAAGAGACTTGTAAAGGGGAGAGAATATAACAATGGTCCTAAGGTAAGAAAAATGCTAATGGGGAGAGAGTTTTCTTTACTCTCTTAAAGATCTGGAGAAGTATGCCAGGATCAATTTCAAACCTGAGGAAAAGACTTAGCAGGAGTTTAATCTAAGTGAAATCTACAAAAAGAAAAAAAATGTTTTCTTTAAACACCAGAAGTCTGAGACCACTCCTTCCTAATGTCCCGAAAGCTGATTTATCTAGAAACAAACAGAAACAGATTGAAAAGGAGACTGTGGGTGACTTGTGCCTTTGATCACAATGTGCACAAGTCACATTTGGGTCAGATACAGTGGGGCAAAAAAAGCAAACTAGAGTTTATGGAAAAGCCTGCAGAGACATTAAATGTCAAAGATCATCAACTGGACAGCAATAGATTTGGTTTCTGTCTTTCATCAAAGATAACCTTTTTTAAGGATTAAATTTTTCCACTGTAAACTTCACTTATATTTAACTGACATTTTCAACAGTTATTTTGAGTCAAATAATTTTAAAGGGGTTATTTTTTCCCAGTGCTTGAGGGTAATACTGACTTTGGTTGGCGATGTGAACGTTATCAGGGATAGTACAATCACATTTGTTTCCCATCAACATATTTTTACTATTCCCCAGTTGGTGTCACCTCTGAGTTTGGTTTTATCTTTAACCCTTCACTTCTCATCTTTAGGTAAAAAACAATATACGTAATATAAGAGAATATGACATTTTTTGTTCATGTAATTTTTTAGCAAATACATGTTGGATGTTTAATGTTCCAAGCTCTGTTTAGAGTATAAAAATTATTATAGGGAACAACAAAGAATCTCCTTCTAAATGGAGTCTTCTTTGTCCTGGGGGATGCAATCAAATGATTAAAGGACTGGTTACATTGCAGGATGATGCATTACAACGCTTTATATAAACACAAGATGGCAGAGAAGCACATAATTGAAACTGCTAATCCAGAATTCGTGGTTCAGGAAACATTTTCTAAAGAACATAGCAACAATGATGAATGTGATGAGCTAGTTAGAGTCTAGCAAAGTCCCAGAGAGAAGAGAAAGTGTGCCATTTTTAAGGCCAGAAAATGACACCAGAGGCCTGGAATCTTATGTGGAAGCTGTGGGTGAATGAAATCAGAGGGGTTAGCGAAGGATCTATCATTTGAGTATTACCATCCATAGTGTCTCAGACGTTGAGCATTAAAGTGATTAAAGTTCCATTGCTTGGGAATCTTAAGAGAACACAGATGGAGGTTCAGTAGAGTTCTTACCTGAACTTCTCGTAAGTTCCCAATATTGATCCTAATACTGATATTGCTTATAGAAGAACTAGCCTTTAAACAGAAAGGTTTTAAACTGTCTTTAAAACCATGGATTTAATAGAACAACAGAATCTGGTGAAGGTTCTTTTTAAACAGAAGAGTGATGTTTTATTTTTAAAAACAGAGGTCAGACTGTGGTGTGACTTGATAAAAAGGATACGACTAGGAAGGAAAAGACTGATTTGGTAATTCAGGCAGAAAAGAAGGGTCACTTGTACTTACAGTGTGACAAAAAGGAAGTGAGATGGCTTAAAGGACCTTAAGGGGAAGAATGAAGAGATTGGCTTTAAAGGATGATAGAGAGTAACAAAAATACTGAAAATTCTATCATCTGAACAACTATATAATTTTGAGATGGAAGTAAAAATAAGTGGAGATCTGGTGGAGAGAAGAAATATTAAGAATTCCATTTTGGATGTAATGGAGTTTAAGGACTCATAAGACATTTAAGTGTAGCAATCTAACTAGTAATTGAATATTCAGAAGTCAGGAGATATATGTACAGAGCAAAAATTATTTTAGTTAGAATAATGATTGTTATGTGCCATCGGGTCGACTCCAACTCATAGTGACCCTATGTGCAACAGCTGCTCAATTTTAAGCCAATTTCATTGTCTCTGACACAACTACCCTCATTATCCCAGTCACTGAATCAATACATCTCATCCCGGGTCTTCCTTTCCTGGGCTGTCCCTCCATCTTTTCAAGCATGATGTCCTTCTCCAAGGACTGTTCTCTCCTTTCACCATGCCCAAATTATGTCAGGCAGAACTTCAAAATCCTTGCCTCCAAGCACCAGGACAGGCAACTAAGAATGTTTGAGACCTGCTGTACTATAGAGTTAGCTGTAGTGGCATAATCTTAGGGAGTTGTCCTCTACTCAAAGTCGAAGCCTCTCTGACAGTTTGAATCTGCCAACAGCTTTTCCAGAGAAATATGAACAATCTCCCCCCTTTCAAGTTATAGCCTCTGAAAACCTGCTAAAGGGTCAGCTATGGGTTGATTCCACCTTGATGTCTCCTGAACGGCACTACCAGTAAATGGAGCCCAAGGGTGGCAGTTTAGATCGCCAGCAGTTCCTCCAGAGGAAGATGGCTAGTCTCCTCCTGGAAAGCTCTGTGTATCCACAGAAATCCTAGGGAGAAGTATTATGAGTAGGATTCCACTCAACAAAAGTGGCCTTAGTTTTTTTCTTTGGCTGCTCTCATAGGAGATGCTGTCAGAGTTTGTCAGAGCAGGGCTGTGCTCCATTGGGTTTTCTTGGGTGATTGTGGGGAAGTAGAGCACCAAACCCTTCTTCAGGAGAAAGAATAGGAGCCACTTGGAAGACCTGAACCTCTTACTTTTCAGTGAGAAGTTGATCATGTTCATGCTTTGCATTACACTTTCAATCTTTAAAATATTATGATCGGTCCACAGGACTCTTGTTCCTAAAGAAGTGAAAAGAGGAAGTGCTGATGATGACCAGACTTGACAACAGTTTGGAAATAAATGGATGGGGGAAATGTTATCCAGGAAGGATCTAGGCCATGTTTGCTCACATGCTGTTATTGTTGTTGTGGGCCATCGGGTCAGCACCGACCCATGACTGACCCTCCAGTGGATTTTCAGAGACATTAAATCATGTGAGAGTTGATTCCCCATCCTCTCAGGGAGCAAACCTCAAACTTTTGGGATTGCAGCCCAGCTTCTTACCACCAAGCCATCAGAGCTTCCTTTTGCTCATATAGTAGTGAAGTTCTTGTAGGTGTAGTCTAGTGTGCTTTCAACTACCCCATAAAAAGCTTCACTAAAGAAGCAAATATAGACTGGACACCAGGACAGAGACGTAAGACAACGCTTTCTTCTATTCTCTATTTCATTGGCATTGTTACAGTTGTTAGACACTGTCTAGTTGGTTGTTAGGGACCCTATAGACAACAAAGCACTGCCCGGTCCTGCAGGCATTGCTATGCTTGAGCCCATTGTGCCAGCCTTGTGCTATTCACTAACATAAATGCCTCTTTCCACAAACACAGCTCATTTGATAAGACAGAGTGAATGCCAGTAAAGTTAAGAAAATGGGAAATAACATCAACTGCAGCAACGACTCAACAACACATAACAACAACAACAGCAACTTAGCTCTGTGACCTCATGAGTAAGGAATTGTGCTGCCAACCCAAAGACACGTGGTTCAAATCCACCAGCTGCTCCATGGTTGAAAGATGTGCAGTTTCCTACTGTGTGATTTACTGCCTCTGAAAACCCACTGAAGGGTCAGCTATGAGGGAATTTTAACTTGAGGGTACATAACAACAATAACAATTTAATTGATGTGGCTTCCTGGCCATGCATTCTTAGAAACAAGGCATTGCCACATGGAGAACTATCTAATAAAGGAAATGTGGAGGAGGGAAAAAGAATGGCAATGCAAATATTCTTCTTTTTCTACATGTAAAACTGATCATGAATTTCAGTCTCTGTAAAGAGGTAAAATAATAAATGATCAGTAGTAAAAGCACTTAACAGTTTAAGAACTACAATGTTAATGCTCAAAATTTAACACAAAGCAACTGTTCTATCATAGTCAACGGATAAAGAAGGTTCTGCTTTACTTCCCTCTACCTTCTTTCCTGTTAGAACAAGCTTAGAATTGCTTGAGTTTATTTACATTATCCAGTGTTATCACTGTGTACAGAATGTGTATGTGTCAGAACTTTACCCTGTAGAACCTAATTAAATGCAGGAAAAAACAGATGGAAATTATAGTTCAAACACAAGAATGGAAGAGGATATACCCCATAAAGACGGGCGTTACTGGGGCTTACACATGTGTGGTGTTTACGGAAGGCTCAGAAGAAAAACCAGTATGCAGGTAGAAGTGGCAGTAATAAAGGCAGGCACTCGTTTTTGTTGTTGTTTAAATCCTTCCATTTTTGTACCTCCAGACAATTGCTAGGATGAAGTTTGTTGTTTAATTTTATCTGACATGTTATGTTTTACTTCTTTAAAGCAATACTAATTAATTTGGTACGAGCACATTTGTTAGAACTGCTTTGGGCTTATTGTCAGAAGGGGCCAGTCCTTGGAAAAGGACATCTAGCCTGGAAAGGTGGAGGGTCAGAAGAGGAAAGAATGACCCTCAGCAGAGTGACTGCAGCAACAGGCTTGAGCATAGTGGAGATTGTGAAGATGGTGCGGGATCGGGCGGTGATTATTTCTATTATACATAAGGTTACTAACAAATCGCAGTCAACTCAATACCACCTGACGGCAAGAACTCCTAAAATGATTAGACTCACTTGGACATTTATGAGAATGAACTCCAGCATTGATATAACTATTACAGCTAATAGAGTTACCATAAAATATCCTTTCACCGTCTTATATTCTACACTCTTAAAAAAAATTAAGAGAGGGAATAAACTCCTCAAATAGTATCTGCGAAGAAAGCCACGTTAGAACACTCTCTGCCTCATTCCATTTAAGCTCAACAAAAGTCACACAGAACTGCAGATTTGAATATTCTGTGGTCCAATACATTCAGAGAAGGCATTTACATAGTCATAATTGTATTCAAGTTAATGGCAGTGCTCAAAGGAACTGAAACTTCTTTTCCTACTGGTGGTTCACGACAGTTCAGACAGAGGTCCCTCACTTGTAAAGCTACCTCATTTGTAAGAAAAACTTTTCCTGTCATTGCTGTATTCCATGAAAGTTCTCTCTCTAGAAATTGGGTGGTCAGACACAGAAACTTCATCATCTTTTTTGCCTTTCAAGTTAAAAAATTGTGAATTAAAGTAGAGATAAAATTTAGAGACTGCTTACTATGTTGTTGTTGTTGTTGTTAAGTGTCATCATGTCCTAGACAACTCCTAGTGACCCTACGAATGAAAGACCTGAACACTTGTATAACTTTCACCGTTTCTCCACATTCATAGGGTTTCTGAAGGCAAGCTATTTTGGAAGTGGATGCCACTCCTGCTTCCAAGCTTGTTTCAATCGGAGAGCTCCACCAAACACTGTCCATCATGGATAACTATTCTCACATTTGACTCAGTGTCACAGTGTTCAGCTTCACAGCAACCACGAGTTACCTCTGTACAGCAAATGAACAAACCAGGGCTACACAACCTATACAAATGTTTGACCCAAAACAATTAAAACCAGGCATGAGGGCCGTCAGCTGGTCAAACATTCTTCTAAGTGGTATAGCCCTGGTGTGTCCATTTGCTATACAGAGGTAACTCATGGTTACTGAGATGCTAAACACTGTGACACTGATGTGTCAAATGTGATAATAGTTACTCATGGTGGACAGTGTTTGGTGGAGCTCCCCTATTAAAACAAGCTTGGAAGCAGGAGTGGCATCCACTTCCAAAGTAGCTTGCCTCTGGAAACCCTATGAACCTGGAGAACTTGCCTCTGGAAACCCTATGAACCTGGAGAAACGATGAAAGTTATACAAGTGTTCAGGTCTTTTGTTCGTAGGGTCATTATGAGTCATCTCCGACTCGACGGCACTTAACAACAATAACAACGATGAGAGAGCTCTGCTGGTCTAGTGGATGGATAGAAAGTGATGCTAACCAAGCCAAAGGTGGGTGATTTAAAAAAAAATATTTTAATCTGCTTTACACAGTAGAAATCCCTGAGTGGTTTGAATGATTAAGCATTTTCATTAACTTTAAGGTTTGGCTGTTCAACACCAAAATTGGAATTTACTCAAAAACTACTGTTTGATCTTAGTTTTTACAATGCATTCAATCATTCAAACATACTTGAGATACATTGAAGATAATAAGGCTCTGTCTCTCAGCAAATGAATAACAAACTATAGTCCTAAAGGGTAAGCTCCAGGGTTACCTTTTCTCTGGCAGAACATTCTGCCGAGCTGCCCCAAGAGCGGGGGGCTGGGTGTAGCTCAGTCTCCTCTGCCTTTATGTTGGAGATGGTGATCATAATCACCAGCTCAAAGTCAATTGGGATACTAGAAGGAAAGGAAGCGTTTTCCTGCTTTCCTTTACGCCAGAAGGTACACTGGTGAATACTTTGGAATCAGAAAGAAAAAACAACAATGAAAAAGATTTTGAATTAATGTAAATGGATAGCAGTGATATCTTTAGGGGGTAGAAGGGTATGAACTACACCAAGTGACATTATCAGAAGGGTTGGCATCAAAATAACTGTCTATAAATGTATTTGTGCAGTGTTTCAGAAGAAATTGATTATTAAAATATCCATTTGGGTAAGACAACAAAAATATTTTTGTCAGCCCATCTTATTTGTACATATATACGTATACCAACAAAGCTAAAATGCTGTTAATTTACTTTTCACATTTTTAATGTGCTTCTGTTAGAGCTGTCATTATTGCCCAATTATAGTAATGCCTCAAATCAGGTGGTTTTTGTCTCCACTGCTCATGTTTCTATAGTCACTGATTTTGTTAAATTTTCTGATGTTTTATCTACAATATTATTCATTAGAATCTATTTCTTTGATATCACTAATAATATTAATTCATATTAAAAGTATTATCAGTTGAATAAAATAACATCATTAATATCATTACCAATAGTATTATATATCCTATGTTTATCTAGGATATATCTATATCTTAATAGAATGAATAAATATTATTCATTTATATCTGTGATCCTATACAAGGATCCCATATTACATTTTTGAAAATGAAGTAGTAATTTCAGGAAAGGGAGAAATAAAATGCTTTTGCTCAGTTACTAATATTTTTCTACCTAAAGTGTTATGATTCAATGTACAAAGGTTTTATAAGCCAATTTTACTGATAGTACTAATATAATTTAGTAAATATTTCGCTTAAGGCAGTTTATAGCTATATCCCTAACACATTCTATTATTAATTCTGACGATAAATATTGCTAAAGATTGTGAATGGCCCACTAGGAGAAGAAGGGGAATAATTCAGAGAAGGACATTATGAGTTACTGCACTGGTTGGCACCAACACTGATGATCGTACTTACAGAAAGATCCTAGAAATAAAGTTGAGATGTGTGTCCTGAGATGATTCCCTTCACTTCTCGGTACCTGGGCCATCTACTCTAAGAAAATGGTAGAATAGCTCCTAAATACCCCCTTCACTGGACTGTCTGAAATTGAAAACCATTTGTTGTTGTTGTTGTTATGTGCCATCGAGTCTTTTGCGACTCATAGCGACCCTATGTACAACAGCCCTAAACCCTGCTCTATCCTGTGCCAATCGCATGGCCTCTGACACACCCATCCCAGTTACCCCGGTCACTGAATCAATCCACCTCATAGAGGGTCTTCCCCTGCTGCGCTATCTCTCCACCCTACCAAGCATGACGTCCCTCTCCAAGGACCTGTCCCTCCTTACAACATGTCCAAAGTATGTCAGACGAAGCCCCAGAATCCTTGCTTCCAAGGAGTAGCCTAGCCTGGTTTAACCCTCTCCAGGATGAATCTGTTTGTTTTCTTGGGAGTCCAGGGTACATTCAATACTCTTCTCCAGCACCACGGCTCAAAGGCATCAACTCTCCTTCTATCTTCCCTAGTCATTGTCCAACTCTCTGATGCATAACAAGTGATTGCAAAGACCATGGCCTGTATAAAGTATTAATAAGCAAGAGGTTCATTTTCTTTCTTTCTTTTCACAATGTTCCTATCAGATAATTATTCCTAACAGTGCCTGACTTTTAATCTGTTGTAGATACTGGCCTTAACATTACATATGTAATTATATTTAATCTTCACAATAGTCCTTTGGAGTGATTTCAATTATCCTCTTTTTACAGATGATGAAGCTGAAGCCTAGAAAGAAATTATGACTGCCAATGGTCATATTATGAGACATAGAACTAAGATTGAGAAATAAGAGACCAGGATTTTTCCTTACAGGGTATATTCTGAGTTTCTGAGATGCAAATAAACAGAGATCCTCAAATGTCAATATTGCAGGCTTAAAATGCTATCTTACATTGAAAGAAACTTGCTTTTTCCAATTCTCGTAGCAATATTTTGGCAGAAATGAAGCTAGAATTCAAGTGGAGTTCACTTTTCAATTGTTACCATATTATTAAGAACTACTCTTAACCAGTTAGCATACTCCCTCTTCCAAACTTTTTCTTTACTTCTAATTTTTAAATGATATGTATTGCTAAGACTCATAATTTGGGTAGTGAATGAATTTATGGTGTGTTTGTTTCTGGTTTGTTGTTTGTTTTTTAATAGTTGCTTGATGTCCTGAAAAATATGACATTCACTGATGAAAATAATTCATTCCATTTTGATGCGAATGGGGATTTGAATATCGGATATGATGTTTTGCTCTGGAAGGAGATCAACGGTCACATGACTATCACCATGCTCGCAGAATACGACCTTCAGAATGATGTCTTCATCTTTACAGACCAAGGCACAAAAAATGAGTTCAGGAACCTTAAGGTAACATTATGATTACGGTAGATTGCTGTAAAACATTGTAATTGTTGCCACTGTTGTTGTTGTTAGTTGCTGTCAAGTAGATTACAACTCATAGTGACACTGTGAACAACAAATCTGAACCCTGTCCTGTCATGTGCCAACCTCTCAACCTCTGATACAGTCGAGCCAATTTCTACAGTCACTATGTCAGTCCACCTGGAGGAGGATCCTTTTCCCCTTCACTGTCCTCCACCTTTCCAAGCAAGCTGTCCTTCCCCAATGAAGAGCCTTACCTAGCAACATTCCCAACCAAAGTCTGCAAGGTGAAGCTTCACCATCTTTGCCTCCACCTAGCACTCCAACTTTACCTCCTCCAAGACACATCTGTTTGTTCTTTTGGCTCTATAGCACTATTGTTGTGTGCCATCTAGTCAGCTATGATTCATAATGATGCTACAAACAGTGGAGAGCCATTACCCTTAACCTTACCCTATCCTGAGCTAATGTCACTCTCTCTGACACACCTGCCCCTATTAGCCTAGTTACTGTGTCAATCCATCTCATCTAGGGTCTTCCACTCTGTGCCAACCCTTCAAAACATGAAATCCTTCTCCAGTGACTAGTCCTTCCTGGCAACAGGCCCAAAGTATGTGAGAAAGAGCTTTAAAATCCTTGCCTCTAAGAAACAACCTGGTTTCACCCTCACCAAGATATACCTGTCTGTTGTCTTGACAGTTGATAGTATGTTCAATACTCTTTGCCAGCATCACAACTCATAGGTATCAGATCTTCTCCGGTCATCCTTACTCACTGTCCAACTCTCTGATCCATAGCAAGTAATTGTGAAGACTATGGCCTGGATTAGGGACATCTTAGTCTTTAGACTGATATTTTTGCTCTCAGCACTCTGGAGAGGTCCCTGACAGCAGCTCATCTTTTTATTTCCTGACTGCTGGTGCCAAAAGTGTTGATTGTGGAACCACATAAACTGAAATTGTTATCTCAATCTCTTCTCCGTCTATCATAATGCTGCCGATTGGCACAGTGCTGAGAATCCTTGTCTTCTTGATGTTGAGCTGCAATCCATATTGAAGGCTGTAGTCCTTGACTTTCTGCAGCAAGTGCTTCAGGTCCTCCTCAGTTTCAGCAAGTAAGATTGTGCCATCTACATAATGCATGTTGTTGATTTTTCCTCCAATCCTGATGCCACCCACATTCCTCCTCATAGAGTCCTGCCTTTCAAATTATCTAATCTGCATATAGATTGAAAAGTTCTAGAGAAAGACAAATCTTTGACACACTTTTTTCTTTATTTTGAATCATGCAGTGTTTCCTTGCTCTGTTGTGATGACTGCTTCCTCATCCAAGTATAGCTTCTGCATGAGCACAATCAAGTGCTTTGGGATTTCCATTCTTCTCAAGGTCAGCCACAATTTGTCATGATCCACACAATCAAATACCTTCACATAGTCAATAAAACACAGATAGACATCCCTCTGGTATTCTGCTTTCTGATAAGATCTATCCGACATTGGCAATGTCCCTAGTATCCCTACCTCTTCTAAACCCAGCTTATATTTCTATCCGTTTGCTGTTGATGTACTATTCCAGTAATTTTTGGACCATCTTCAGCAGAACTTTTCTTGCATGTGATATTAGTATTTGCCAAACAATTTCAATGCTCAATTGAATTTCTTTTTTTTTTTAATGGGAATAAATATGGATCTCTTCTAGTCAGCTGGCCAGGTACATGTCCTCCAGGTTTCTTGGCACAAGCTGATGAGCACATGCAGCTTTGCATCTGTTGGTTGGAATATGTCAGTTGATATTCCATCAACTCTTGGGGCCTTGGTTTTTTCCAGTTCCTTCAGAGAAACTTGTATTTCCTCCTTTGTCACCTTTGCCACTTGATCACATGTTTCATTAAATTCCTCTATGTCAGCCAATTGTTTTGGTACAGGGTCTCTAGTTCTCCTTCCACTTTTTGATGCTTCCTGGATCATTAATGGCAACTATACACATGGACCTCATCTGATGAACTATATGGTACTGATTACATCTGAGGAAAGAATCATTGGAGAAACTCAAACTAGGCCAGGTAGTAACTGTGGAACAGATTATCATTCATGTGCAAGTTCAAAATGAAGCTAAAAAAATTAAAATAAATTCACAAGAACCAAAATTTGACCTTGAGTTTATTCCACTTGAATTTAAAAGCCATCTCAAGTGCGGCTTTGAGGCATTGAACACTAATAAACAAAGACCACACGAACTGTGGGAGGGTATCAAGATTATCATCCATGAACAATGCAAAAAATCATTACAAAGACGGAGGAGGGAAAAAAGATTGCGATGACTGTCAGAAGCTCTGAATATTGCACTAGAGTACAAAGAAGCCAAAGCAACAAGAAGAAAGCAGGAAGTTGATGAGCTGAAACCAAAACAAGGTATTATAATGAAATGTGTAAAGAGCTGGAGTTAGAAAATAAAAAAGGATAAACTCCCTATACCATTAAGCTTCATTAATTAAAAATCAATTGGTCCTTCAACTACAAAAGTATTTGACTTCATCAGGACCCTGCCAGGATCTTCAATAATTCTCCAGTCTCTTCACTGTACAGTTTATACATTAGATGACATCCACAAGCATAAAAATAGTATTCTAACACATTTTTTATAGGGACACTAGTCAATCCATAATATAATTTTATTTAATTTATCAGATAATCACCCTCCTCCCATGAAATGTATTGCTTGCTCCTTTAACACCATGTACCATCAATTCCTCTTTACACACACTGTTGCTAAATATTGAGTTTCTTATCACTCAGAACTGTGCCTCTTCCTATCTGCATTTTTCCTTCAAGATCACATAATGTCTCAAGGCTTTAAATGTTGATGACCCTCAACTTTCTGTCTCTTGAAATCAAACCCAAATAAATATACAATTGCCTGTTTGACATCTCTGCTTGGAGGTCTAAGAGCCATTTTAACTTAGTATAATCTAAATCAGAATTTCTGCTATCTTCTACAAGACTTACCACATCTCAATAAATGGCAAATGTTTTCAAGTTGCTCATGCATAAGATTGGTAAGGTTCTGGCCTCCTTTTTCCTGTCACATCCAGAGCCACTCTAGGCTATACTTTCAAAGCACACCCAAAATCGGACCACTTTTTACTCATTGCTGTTACCCCACCACAAACTACAATCATCTCTCATAATACTTTTTAACTGTTCTGTTTACTCTTACTCCCTTCAATCTATAGACTATTCTTCAGAATAGAAGCCCAGATAATCCTGTAAACTGTAGTATTTTCTCTAATCTCTTCTATCCCTATTTCCTATTTGGCTAAAATGCAATGTTTTTAAAGTCTAACAAGTCCTACATGGCCTGCCCTTCAAATGTCTCACCTCACTCATCTCCCACTCCTCCACTTCACTCTTCCCCATCTTCTGCTGCCCCACAGGCCTTTCTGCTGTTACATACACACCTTCCTTGCTCCTAGCTCAAGACCTTTGCACTTGCTGGTTCCTTTGCCTCTAATAATCTGCAATGCTCCAAAGCAATTCACTTTCTTCTCGCTCTTTCTAAAATGTCATCTTCTTGGTGAAGTCTTCTCTGGCCACCCTAATTCAAACCACAACACCTTTTTGATCATTTCTTACACTTTGTACTGTCTTTATTATTATCTTCACAACTTATCACTCTCTGACATTCTGTATATTTTGCTTAATTTTACCTTGTTATTATTAGCTGGTCTAATGGGAAGACACTGCGCTGCAATCCCGAAGGCATGCAGTTCAAATCCAACAGCTGCTCTTTGGGAGAAAGATGGATGATTCCCTCCCATATGATTAACTGCCTCTGAAAACCCACTGCATGGTTAGCTCTGGGTCAGTTCTGAGTCAATAGAATTCAGCAAAACAACAACAACAATTAGAAATTAAAGTCTCTGAAAGCAGGTACTTTTGTGCTTCATTCCCTGTTGTAGTCCTCCGGCTACAACGTTGCTTGTTGCCATGGAATTGTTTCTGATTTATGGTATCCTTGTCGCTGTTGGCATCTTCATGTACAATCTAACAAAGCCTTGACTACTTCCTTTTCCTTCTTCATGATCACTCTTCATGATCGCTGGCATATTTGAGTCCAATGTTGTGACCACTGTGGAGTGCCTTCCAACCTAGGATGTTCATCTTTTAGCACTTATGGGAGAATATCTTGATATTTCCTTAGGCTGTCATTCACTAACTTTCAAAAGTCAATCTCCAGCCCTTTCTTCTTAGTTGTATTAGTCTAGCAGCTTCTCTGCTCATGTTTTAACATCAATAACATAGCGTCCAGCATTTCAACGAATATGTAGTGAATGAAAGAATTGACAGTGGTATACACCACTGTCATCCATCTAATAATTTCCTGTTAGAATTTTTAGTAAAACAAGATACTTTAGTAAACAGAAATTTGGCTTTCCATTTGTGTTCTTAAAGTTTCTTCATTTGTGTTACTGTCATTATCACAACTATCTTATGAACCCAGCAGACTGTTAATCACCTTAGTTTACAGAGAATTTTTTAGGCTATTCTGTAACTTATTATATTACTAAATACAAAGAGGATTCTCCGCTGTTTTTATCTAGAAAGAGTTGTTTTATATTATTACTCGAACTTATCCCCAGACTGCAGAGGAAATATTCACCAAGGAAGATGTAACAAAATTACAACTGAATCTGTTTTTCAATGACAAAATTGAACGAATTGGCCACAATGAAAGGGAAATAAGTCCTCCTATTTATTGGGAATACACATAAATATTTCAAGAATGCAGTCAAAGTCAACAATAAAAATCACAAATTGACATCCCATTGCCACAGAGTCAATTTTTACTCATAGCATCTCTATAAGACAGAACAGAACTGCCCTGTAGGGTCTCCAAGGCTATAAATATTTTACAGGAACAGACAGCCATATCTTTCTCCCATGAAGCAACTGGTTACTCAGATGACCCACCTCTGATCAGTTAGG